AGCCCCCCCACGCTGGGCAGGAGGAGGGAGCCCCCCCGCGCCGGGCAGGAGGAGGAGGGAGCCCCCCCCCGCCGGGCAGGAGGAGGGAGCCCCCCCACGCTGGGCAGGAGGAGGAGGGAGCCCCCCCACGCTGGGCAGGAGGAGGAGGGAGCCCTCCCCCCCCGCCGGGCAGGAGGAGGAGGGAGCCCCCCACTCCTCCCCCCGCCGGGCAGGGTAGGGCTGGTGGGCGCAGCAGCCATGATGGGGGAGGAGTACCCTCTGAGGCTGCTTAGGACAAAGGCCCCAGGCTCTTTGTCTGAGGCTCCATCCCGCCCCAGTGGGGCCCAGTGCCCTCGGGAGCAGCAGGCTGGCCCTGGCCTCTGCATACTGAGTCGCACTTAGAGCCGCCCCTCCACCTCCCCTGCCATCCTGGTGAGAGAATCCCAGGCCTCTGGCTATCTGCTCTGCCCCATCAGGTGGAAGTGGGGGGAGGGGGCGTGGAGGCCTGTGTGTCCACCCCATAAGGCCCCTCCTGAAGCCTAAAGTGGCAAAGGTTGAAAGTGTGAGAGAAAGCACCAAGTTGGACGGGACACAAAGGCTGGAGTACCCCACTTCTAGGCCTCACTTTGATCCTGGAGCAAAGGAACTGTCCCTAGGGCTCCCTAGGATGGACCGCCACTGAGGCGGCCCAGGGGGTGTGGTGATGGGGAGGGAAGGTGAAGTTTCCATTTCTGGGTTAGGTCCCCGGTCCTAGACCACTGCGGCCTCAGACTGGCAAGTCTACCATTCACTGCTGTTAGCCAGCACAGCCCCTGAGCCCCCAGGCCACCAGTCACCATTGACCAGGGAAGGGTTCAGGTGTCTATGTGGTCCTCTGGTCTTTAGCTGGGCAGTGGCCCATTCCCTATACTTCTAGGCTGGGCTGGCCCAGAACTCATTCATGGCTCTAGGACTGGGTCTCCTTGGAAGCTTCTGTTAACAAACAGCCCTTCTTCTGGATGCAGGTACCCATGGCAACTGCATAGAACCCACCTCTCCATCCCTCCCTAGCCTGCTAACGGCTCAAGCCTCAGGTGGGTGTTGGTGGTGAGCCCCTTGGGCTGGGGGCATGTGAGTGAGGTCTCGGCAAAGTGCCAGCACTTCTGACCTTTGCTCTAGGCTGAGGGTTAGGGGGGCAAAGAGGAGACAGCTGGTGGCCACACTGAGAACATGACGCCAGGGAAATGACCTGCCACCCAACCTGAAACAGATGAAGACTCTCAGTGACCAACAGCCCTCTGTCCAATGGGGTGGACACATACATGTGGGCCTCAGTGACCCCGAGTGAACTGGTAGCGCTACCATGTGAGTTCCATGAGGTGCCCATACCTGGGGTACAAGGATAAACTTGAGCTTACTTTCCCTCCCAGCTCCTGACCAACATCGAGCATGGCCCCAGAATCTTCCCTCGAGTCTGAAGAGGAGGAGGCGCCCCCGGTGCCAGCAGATGGAGAGCCGGCCAGCAGCGATGTGGGGCCTCCAGTGGACACACCTACAGATAAAGGGAATCCCTCCCGTTCCCAGGACACCACAAGTCAACCACCAGTTGTCAACCTGCAGTAAGGACAGGAAGGACAGGTGGCCAGCCTCCTGCGCTGACCGGAAGACCAGGCTGGTTAAGCAGCAGGGACTGGAATTGCAGGTTGTCCCCTGAGGCCCTGGACCCCCGGACCCTGAGGCTGCTGTGGCAACTGAGAGAACTGGAGATCCAGTCACTGCGGTCCGCCCTCCAGAATGACCGGCACTGCCACATCCTACAGGAGGTGGCAGGGATCCCCCCGGAGAGGTCAGCAGTGACAGCCCCAGCTCAGCCCGGCCTCTGGGTTCCCCAGCTTCTGGTTTCTGTCAAACCCCAACCCCAGCTGCTGAGCTAGCACTTCTTTGCTTCTAGCACTTGCACTTTGACAACCTTCATCGCTAGCTCTAGTCCCTAAGTAAGTTACTACGCTCTGAGTGTAAGTGTAGCCCGGAGCATGTGGACCCCTCCTCAAACCTTAACCTGCTGCACTGTAACCCTAAGCCCTAGCCCACACCCAGGGGGCCATGGCAGTCAAGCAAGCGGCTCCGATGCTGACCCCTCAGGAGCCCTGCCTGGCCCTGACGCAGGGCCTGCTGAGATGAGCTTGCCTCTCTTCCCAGGAGCCCTTGCACTCAGGAGAAGTTCCTGCAGAACCAGGTCCGGAAGTTGACTCTGGATCTCAAAGCGCAAAAAGAACAAGCCCGGCTGGTGAGGCGCTGGGCGCGGGGAGCGGGGCCAGGCGCTGGCAGGGGTGCCTAGGCTGGTCTTGGGAACAGGACACCAGGCAGCTCCTCACGGACGGTTCCCCTGAGCAGGAGAAAGAGCTCTTGGAAAAGCAGCTGATGCAGACCCTCCACATGGTGCAGCAGCTGGAGGATGAGCTACAGAACTTCCAGAAGTCATGCCTCCTGCATCTGGCCCACTCCTCCTGGGTGGGCCGCATACTTCGGTCGCAGACCGGCAGCGTGGAAGTGAGCTTAGCCCCCGGGCCCCTTCCCGGCCGTCCTTGGAGGTCATCGTGCTGCTCTGTTGAGTGCTTCTGTTAGGGTTCCTAGCTTGCCCTTGGTCAGGCTGCCTCCACCAAGGGGAGTCATGTGACCTGCATTCCTGCCCACCTGGCAGAAGGTGCTGATGAGGTCGAGGGAGGGAGGGGTGCCACCGGGGGAGAGGCGTCTTCCCCTGGCCTGTGTCCCTCGCAGGTGATCACTGCGGAGACCCTGATGGAACCCAGTGACTTCTCGGAGAATGAGCAGACTGGGGAGGTGAGCAGGACCCCCCTGCTGCAGGCAAGGGGCATTCCACTTGTCGGGTAGGGAGCCACGTGCCTGTTGCTTTCCTGCCCAGGGTTTCCGGCTGGAGGACGTGGACTGGAATAGCATTGCCCGTCGATTCCCCAACCTCCTCACCAACATCACGTCCAGCGTGGAGCAGAAGTAACTAGCTGCCTTGGGCTGGGAGCCCCAGGGGCCAGGGCAAGGGGGAAGGCTTGGCCTGGCAGAAATAAGTCAGGCTTCCTTTTGTCTTTAAGTATCCCTAGACAAGTCCTTTAGTTCTTCCAAGCCTTGGCTTTCATCTGTAGGATGGGTTCAAGATGAAGGGAAGGACCCACTGGGCCACTGCTACCATGCTGTGGGCTTGGATGAAGGCGGGGCTGCCAGCCAGGGCACCCAGTGAGCAGAAGGTGGCCCCAGGCAGATCCAGCCCCGCCCGCCGTCTTCACTGGACTCCTTGAGCTTGGATTCCCCTGACAAGCACCCGGAGAGGCCTGGCAAGAGCCTGGAGTGGAGCTCCCTGCCCGTGGTACGCTCCAGCAGCTCAGAGGGCACCAACGCTGACTCCCACCACTGCCAGCCGGTCCTGCATTCCCAAGGGCAGAAGGTGCCCGGGTACCCAGACTTGTCTTCTGAGCAGAACCAGACATGGAGCGAGAGCTTCAGCAAAGACACAGAAGGTGGCGCAGGTAGGCCTCCCCACCTCTCCAGGCCCTGCTCCCCTGCCAGGCAGACCCAACATGCTGCAGGCCTGTCTGGCCTCATAAGGTACTGTCCCCACCGGACAGCACCTGTGGGCCTTGCTCCCTGACAGCACTCATTTCCGTAGGTCGCCAGAAACCCCACTTGGGCCACCCCAGCAAGACGGTCCCGAAGCCCTATGCGGACCCTGACTACCAAGGTTCTGGGTACCAGCTGAGGTGAGGGGGTTGCCCGGCCATCGGCACACCGGCCGGTGGGCAGCTTTCGGGTCAGGGCACCTCCTTGGCACTCCTTTTCTGCCCCAGCCAGGATAGCTGCTGCTTGAAGATTGTAGCTGTGAATTGCCGGGAGAGGTTTGTCCGCATCCTCAACCAGTCCCAAGAGGAGACTGTGGAGCTGGGTGGCTTCCTGCTGCAGCAGCTGGTGCAGAACTTCCCAGTGTGCATGTTCCGCTTCCCACCTGGCACCCTGCTGGCCCCAAGACACCACATTACGGTGCGCCCCCCTGTCCATGAGCCCGTGTGGCCCCACTCCAGCCCTCTGCTCCTCCCCCAACATCCCGTGCCGTTCCCAGGTGTGGGGTGAGGGGACTCGCCGCACCAAGAAGCAGCCGCCTATATTCTTGGGCCAGGAACCTTTCTACTTCCACTCCAGCCAGGGCTGCGTAACGCTGCTCCTGAACGCTGAGGGTCAGGTCAGTGCTGGTCCCAGTTGGGAAGGGCTGGGCACGCCTGGCAGGGCAGGGGTCATTGATGTGCCCTTGCTGGCCCCGAAGGTCCTCAGTGAACACCAAGCCCCACACTGTGCCACCCTGGGCTCCAGAACCTTTGAGGACAACATGGACTGGTCTATCGATTGTTTTCCTCTCTCCGAGGCTGGACTTGGGACAGACACCCAGGAACAGCAGCGCCGGCCTTTACCCATGTGCAAGGGCAGAGTGCAGGAGTCCAGGGCTGGACGCCGGAAGCCGGGGTGGGTGTGAGTCCCTCAGTCTATCCTCGCCAGCAAAACTTGCTTCCACGCCCTCCCCAGGAGCACCTCGGCTCCCTAGGCCCGGCCACAGCTAGAAACACTGCTCTGAACTTGCTCTGAACTCTCGCGCACCCTGCCGGTCCCGTCCCTTTCCCAGGCTGACCAAGATGCCCGGTTCCACCAGGACTTGGGGCATTTTGCCACAGCTAAGCACTCGCAAGCCTTGTCACCCAGGAAAGGGTCCGGCACAGCGGGAGGGCACCAAGACTGAGGTACAGCAGCTTCCGCCCACCGTCCCTGGTGAGCATGGGGTGCAGAGCGGGGGTGGCCTGACCCCCTCTGCCATAGGGACCATGGCTGGCCAGCCTGACTCCACTCCGGCCTGTCCTACACAGAGGCCGGGCTGCCCCTCGAGAAGTGTTTGAGTAGGAGGGAGGACAAGTTCCAGGTAAGTGCTCCCGCCCACCCAGCTCCTTCCCCGTCTGCCTGGCCGGCCTGGGTGGCCCTCAGGCCCAGCTCCTCCTCGGAGCTGGCGCTCATGCTCAGCTTGTTCTGCAGGTATGCCGGAAAAGTGTAGACCGGAGCTGCCCCATGGTGGCTTTGTCTGTGCAGAGCACAGCTGAGAGCAAATACGGGTTCCGCTTTCTCAGCTGCCCACCCATCACCACTGACGTGTGCTGGAGGATGTAGCTGAGGATGTGTGCTGGAGGGTGGAGGGGGTCTGGCCAGGCAGGCAGTACCAGCTGCATAATTTATTGAACCAACTTTGCCTACAAAGTAAACAGCATTTCTGAACACCTGAGAGTCGAAAGTGATTTGACTGTTACAGAACCATTTCCCGAGTGCTAGGTACGCCCTTGGAGGTCTAGGGTGAGCATCTTGGACCGTGGGCAACAAAGAAGGTCCCACAGAGCCTGGGGGACCTGCAGAGTCCAGCTGCTGCAGCCGTCCACTCCAGGCCTGCCCCTCTGCCCCAGGCCCCCGGGAGGGCGAGTGGGTTAGGAGGGGTGGGGAGCTGGGCCTCCCCTCAGACCTAACCTGGGGTCTGAACTCGGATGCCCTGGCTGTCCCAAGTCCTGGACTTCACTCTGCCAAGAGGGGCCTCTCCAGCACCAGGCTCACCTCCCATCCCCATGCCCACTAGATGCTGAGGCCAGAATCCTGGTGGTGGTCTCAAGATCTTCTGGGCACCTCTCAGCTCCTACTGAGGCAAGCCCATCGGTGGGGCAGGGTGGGGGGGACTAAGGGTGGGAATGGGCTGGAGGGATAGGATTTAGATGAGGTAGACAGCAGAGACCTGGTGGCCTGGTTGCTGGATCTGTTATTGGGCTTGTGTCTGGACACCCCTGGATTCGAGGGCCGGGGCCTGAGGACACCTCCAGGGCTCTCCGGGCAGTGGCTGTAGCCAGCCTTTCACCCAGGCCAGGCCTCTCAATGGGGGTGGGGCCCATACTGCCCAGGGCTCGGAGCCTGCGCCCCCTGAAGGGCAGGTCTGATGCCCGGGGAGAGCTGTGGTCTGAATTGGGTGGCATTGGGTACTTGGGAGGAGAAGGGATCAGGTGACAGCACAAGGTCCTGGAAAGCCCTAGAAAGCAAGGGAAGAGCAGGTCAGAGAAGCCCTTCAGACAAAGGTTTCGCCAGGTGGGAGGTTCCTACCCA